GGGGTGGGTTGGGTATTCTTAACCCCCTAAATCGATCGATGATTTATTAATTTTGGCTGGTGCACCATATATTAGCTGCACCAGCCAAATTTAATAAATCGTCGATCGATTTAGGGGGTTAAGAGATTTTTAAATGCCGGTCGAGATTCGAGTTTGGGGTTGAAGAAGCTGTTGAGGGTATTCATATGCCAGAGTTGTCACGGACACATGGACAATCCGGGATGGGATGTTATAAATCACGTGTTTAACGCTTACCACTTCTTCAAAGGCTATATATTAATATCTCAATCATTAGACTGACTAGTAAATCTAGCCGCTATGCTAGAAAGGTAAAGAAAGATTTTCTTTAAAAAGCGTTTTCAATTCCCACTAGAATTGCCATCAACAGCAGGATGGCTAATATGGTCTAATGTAACTGATGTGTTTTCATCTTCATATAACTCATTTCCTTCCTCAAAAGTTCCTCTTCTAACATCTCTGCCCAACCTTGGAGGTATTCATTGAAATCACTTTCTGAGAAACCCGTCTCCAGTTCAGTTTCATCACCAGAGTCTTCATTCGTAACTTCATTGCTTGCCTCATAATCCTCTTCTTCCACTGAGGTTGTGTCATTCACCTCTCCAACATCTGCATCATCAGAATTGTTATTTTGACTCTCAGCGTTAGATGACCATGTATTCTCGTTCGGCATAGTAATAGATGACAATTCATCCGATGTAATTGTTATTGTCGGAGAATTGGAAGAAAGACGCCGATTATATGTAAATATCAGCTCTCAACCGACTCATTTCAAGTGCTTTCGATGACTGCGCAATATGCAAAATTGTGTTAAGAAAAATGCCTAAACCTTTATTTGAAAATAACATACCATTAACCGATTGCGTCGATTGTTTTGTAAAAACCCCATGCAACTCCAAAGTCTTTCAACAGACGCTGCATTTACACATACCCCGAAGATTCTGCAGGCCACAAAACCCAACTCATTTGTTGAAACACTTACATAACCCAATAGCGCCAAACATTACCTTGAACTGTCTATACGTATTTTTACAGGCCATAAACCAATCAGCCGTTTGAAATAAGATTGCATTAATTGAAATTGCCGACGCATGCACGTTGTAATGCGACACCCTTCTCGCCGTATATAATACGCTTACAGGATCGACCAAAGTGTATTGTGACGGTGCATTCTTATAGCTCCATACATTGCCGTATTTCCATCATATACAACCCGTTATTCGATACTGTACGTCTACTGACGCTAGAAAATAATTATCTAGCAAATGTCAATGTTTGTGCTTGTTAATATACAACCAGAGAAAATAATATTCATGGCGTAGGGACAATTGCTGTTGTTGCTGTTGCTGTTGTTGTTGCTGTTGTTGTTGTTGCTGTTGCCGTTGCTGCTGCTGTTGTTGTTGTATATTAATATGCCATTATTGTGCTTGTGGAATTGCATATACGGAATTATTCGCTCGCATTGGATCTCTTTGGTGGCCATCGTCGAGTGCTTGACCAACGGGTCGCTTGTATGGAGAGGAGGAAAATAAGACTATTGATTCTTGTATATATGTTGTGTGATATTATTGATCTTGTTGTTACAAATTAACATGCAATGAAGCATTCTTTATCTCTGTGGAGAGAACGGGTCCATGACCAACGTCCCGTCCATGGACATTGTCCATGCATGTCTATGTCCGCCCAGTATAAGCAAGCAGACACTTGAACTATTTACAATCGCTTCAATTTTAAATCATGAGACTAAGACTGGGGGTTGCCGATTCCCGAATTTTTATACAGCGTTATGAGTACGTATTTCTGTAGCAAGATCAATTAATTTATTCTCTTAGTATCAATTCAATTAGTTGAGATACCTTAAAGAATTTGTTCTAGATCCCCCTGTTTTTATTAAACACAGTACATACCAACGTGATGGATATTCCATATGATACAATTTATGAATACATATTACGTTATGCTGAAACAAGCAAAATTGAAATTAAAACTCATTTCAACTATAAATAATAATAAAGTTTGATGTAATTCCCAACCATTGCACATTGCTATCATTTCAACACTTACTACAATCGCTTCATGGAGACCAAGAAGACATCAATTACTAGTATGAGTGGAATTACTCGATTCTCGTCTTTTTCTCGCGTTAAAGTTACTGACCTTTACACTCCCACCCGACACAATATCTTTTCCCCTTGCGTCTTGCCTCTGATCCTTCATTTCCACTGACAGCCATTCGTTAAAGATCTGATCCAGCAACGCCCGCTCATCGGCAGTGAATTCGGTAAGGATTTCATTCGTGCGGAGAAAAGCGAGTCCAATTACGCCTCCTCCAATAATAAGGTTGTCGACACTGAAATCAT